ACAACTGGTTTTAGAATAAATATGTTTAATTCCGATGCAAAGACCCTATAAATGAATCAATATTAAAGCCAAAATATGCAATCTTTAATGACCTGACAACAGTATCGTAATTATATCCCTTCTTAATAAGTCTGTTTAAAGGTTTTGTTAGCTTTTGAGGTGAATACTGACATTTTTGTGCTATGTAAAGAATATTACCATGATAAAAGATTGGATGTGAAATACACGAACGTATAAGATGTCTGCATGTTGAGTTATATTTACGAATGATGTCCTTATACCGATGATAAAATTTAGTAAATGTTTTGACTAGTTTATGATATCGAAAACCCTGGTGTAATAATTTTTCAGTAATACATAAATTTCTCTCGCTAAAATCAAATACGTTGTTACATACACGAGCGAATCGTACAAGTTGAGATGTTATGTTTGTTTTGATTTTGTTTGGTTTTGCTTGATGCTCTGGTAGTTCTACCTTTTATGATACTATTTTTGTTCTGGATAAGTACATTCGATAATGTTTCTACTAGTAATCATACCTATCAATTGACCATTTATGTTTTGTCCCTAATGTCTATTTTAAACAGTTTAATCAATATTAAATGCATGTATAAAATTACACAAGCTAAAAAAAAAAAAAAAAATGACAACAACTGTATTTTTGTCAATGGAATAAATAACAATTTGAAGTATATGAATTTTGTGAAATGCATGAAAATTTCCAAAAATAGACGGAAGCTGGAAGGTGCTGTCATTTCTGTATACAGTTGACAGAAACCATATTTGAATATTTGACTAAATGTTGCTATTTAAAATCTTATTTAAGGCGAAGTATACGTAATTACACGCCTCTAGCGGAATAAGGGATAAAAAAAACGTATGTCGTTAGTTACGCAAGTTATCTCCCCTACTCCAAGAACGGGAAATGGGCACATGAAAGAGAAATGACATCGTGCGGTCTATCATGAATCCAAACAAGTATCCCTGTCCTTCCTCAAAACTTCAAAAAAAATATCAGAATGACTCCAATTAGAAATATGAGTATACTATTGTGAGTTAGTCTGTCTATATTACCACTGTTTTTGTTTTAGACACGCAGAAGGAGCAAGTACACAATACGACTCGTGTTTATTTCAACAACAAGTAAAAACGCCTAAACAACAAAATTATAACCAAATAAACAAATAAACCAGTGACAATTTCTACTTATAGTATCAAACTCGTTAAAATCAAATCAGAATTAACCCCACAATTTTATTTGAAAAATAATAGTTTTGAATGAAATTCACAGTGTAGCGTAAAATTGTAGGTAACGAATTATTGCATGTGAATTTGTGTGGTGAACTATAGAAAGACGTTGGCATGTCTCGTTTTTTAAGCAATTGAAAATTTTAGAATAATTTATATTTATGTGAAAAGTATAAAAGATACTATGGGGTAATCGACCACTAGTGCAACATTTATAACATGTACATGTATAAGTCGAACAACAAATTTAAAAGCCAAAAAAAAAAAATAAATAAAAACCAACATGCATCAGATTCCATCCACAAAACATTACACATGAAATAAGAATTGAGCAATATGACATTTATCTCAGAATAAGTAAAATCTATGTCATCCAAATCTCAGTTCTGCAAAATAAACAGGTGTCTTCTATTCCATCCACAATTTTTGGGGAAAGTAAAATCTAAATTTAGAACCATGGTTGAAACTGAAACTACACATGTATGATAAAAATAGAACAGTCATGTTGTTTTTTCTTGATCAAATTCCAATTTCGAAGGGATAGCGAAATTTGTATTCTTTTGTTGTCCTTTGATATGTCATTCATAAGTATTGAATTATATAATTTTGAAGTAAAAATTTTCTTCTCAAGTCTCAATATTGAAGATTATGATAAAATAGAGTATAAAGTAGAAGGTAGGGAAGAAGGGGGAGAGTGAAGAAAATAATGTTACAATGTCAGGGCCTTTTATAACCGACTATACGTTATAGATTTTGTCAATGATGAAGGCCGTATGGTTGCCTATTATAATTGCTTACATCCACTACAGTCAGTAAGATAGCTGGGGTGTCTAAATGTTCGACGATAGATTATTCGTAAACTTCTGTAAAAGACTTCTCGGTCAATGAAATTTCAAATTTCAATATAAGAACCGAGGCTTACGGACCTTGATTTTTCGTAATAGTACATTGAAATTAACGACATTTGGGGTATTTGTTTTTTGTATATATAAGGGAAACTTAAGTTTTCCTTATTGAGGAAACATTAAATGATAGAATTGGCTTAAATTCGATGAGATAATTGCTTTTCATTAATACTGAAATATAAAAAAAACAATAGGGGGTCACGGGCCTTATTATCTTAAAAACCAAAAACATTATTGATAGTTCAATCTTTAAATTTCAAGTTTTATGTATTTGTTGTATATTGAATGATACTTGGTAAAATGTTTTTAAAACAATAAAGTATTTTTGCAACATGACCAGAACGGACGCTCAGATAAAAAAAAAACCCGATCTACCTTTAACTGTGGCAGATAGTTGTCTCATTTCTAATCATACCACATATCCTTATTTTTATATTATATTAAAAAAAATAAATTCATTTGCGTTAGATACAGGCACAATTTGTATTGCCCTATACATAAGGTAAACTCGTATAGTATAACATAATGAACAGTCTCCTTGCCAACTTCCGAAGCAAGGTTGTCGGCTCTCCGAACTTTCCCGAAGTCCTGAGTTTATTGCCGACTTTATGTGTTTCGGTCCTTGCTTGGAAGTTGTCTCCTTGCATTACACTGGATACATTCTAATAAAATTACACTAGGTACATTTTTTAGCACCATACTGTATGGATACATTCGTACATTTATAGCATTACACCAGTACATTTATAGCATAAAACTATACACTATACAATACGGCTATAGCATTACAATATACACAATGCTAAGGCATAACACAAGCAATGATCTGTGCAACGGGAAGTTATATATATAAAAAAAACTCCGATCTGTTTTATTTTGCTGAAATTCATATGCGGGTTCTTCTTTTGACGTTCTTATAGCCAAAAAAAATCACAAGATAATATGCATATGCGATTTCTTATATTTTGGGAGTCGTACATCATGTACATGTGGATATTAAACAAATAATGGTACAAGAAATTATTTCCCTTGTTACTGAAACTCCATCAACCATTATATCATGCTTTGTCATGTTGTTAAAGAAAAGGGAAAGCGATCGAGACAGTAAATTTAAAAATAAATTTGCAGAGTTGTGTCACGTGCACATGTGTAATCCTGACAAATAGAATGGGTTTTGTACGCAATATCTCGAATAGCATCGGAAATACTGAAAATGAAAAGAAGCAGAAAATTATATTTACCTTTTTTTCAAAAACAAACACACAGAAATAAGATTTAAAGGGCACTAGCTGTCAAATTCATGTTCACCGATTTGACTCAAATTCTCATATTTGATTTATAACAATGTAAAACATTTATCCAAATTATGAAAAGTCTAAAATAAACAATATACCGGGCATGGGCTCGATGATATGTAGCTTCGTTTCGTGTTTACTTTAGTCTAGACGCCATCTAATTAACTGTCGAGTTTACCCCGAAGACCTCCGATTGCCATATAAGCTATATAAACATAAATATAGATAAAAATAGATATCAGATTCGTGCATTTGGATTTTTCTACATCTGTTTAGTTTCATATCATAGATTTAAAATATATGTTTATCATCGTTTTTACCTGTATAAGAATGATTTATTTTGTGGATCGAATCGGTCAATCAAATGATTTACCTTTGTTTCACTTTCAATGTTGACATTCTTTTCCTTAAATAATTGAACACGCACAATGCATGCGGTATCCATCTCTAGATAATGAATAATTCATCATCATTGTTTCTTAGCTTATTTTGACAAAATTGAACCATACTGGCTGCTAAAAGCGATATATTGTTTCACTATTTCACTTTCATTAATGATTGAACAAAAAAAAAAAAAAATCATATTTTATATCTTTTATATATCTCGTAGCTAGTGCCCCTTTAAAAAAAAAGACATGTATACGCGATCTCAATATTATAACCGAATTTTTAAATATGTATAGAATCATTCTGTCAACGCTGTTCTAATCTGGACAATTCAAACTTGATATTAGAACAATACAAACATTTCAAAAAAGATTTCGAATGCTTTCTAACCTAGAAAAGATGAGGTTAAAGTTTATATACAGTGACTTTCTTTCACTTGCAGTATGTTTATTTATCAATTTGCATTTTGTTTTGGCAGCAGAAATATCCTTAAAAATTAGTCAGATTATTTCCTTATCAATCGAATACGCTTTAGTATTTGTAAAACTAGCACGGTTGCTAATGACTTTCTTTGCACCTATGGATTCGTCGTTCATTTTTTAATCGCATTTCGATTTAAAAAAAAAATCTGTGGACCAACGAATTAGAAAATCTTGATAAAGTAAAAATATCTGCCGTTTTTTATGATTTTCCCTATATATCCTTTGTATTTCTCGGGTATCATATTATTAATTTCAACAGCTTGTATCTGAAAAACGAAAACGGTTACCCCATTTTTTTATTTTATTTTCTGATGTATTTTTACAAGCAGAATCCATATGTGAAATTCAAATTAAAAAATCTGTGGAGTAGTTAATTCCGTTCACTTCGCCTTAACACTAGTTTTTGCAGTTAAAAGTCAAATCTGCATACTAGATTGACTTATTTGGTGTTGATTTTTGAATAAGGAAAAAACACCTCAGGTATATTGGGATGCAATGGTAATAAAGGATTTTTACTATGTTTACGTTCATTAACTTCATTGTTTGAATATTTGTTCCATATTTGTTTGTCGCCATCATATCAAACATAGTTATTCAATACGCATATGTCGTAAGGACTAAATTGTTCAAAGTGAAAATAACATGATAACAACGCACTAATGCGTTGAATGATAAAACAAACATTTCGAAATGTACATTATCTATTGTAATGTCATATCTTGAAGTGGACATTAGTTTCTTGTACTTCAATAACTAACACATCGAGTTTCCTGAAAAAGAAACAAAGTACATTCACATTTTTTTTAATATAGCATATTGTGCTTTATCACTATTATTATATTGTTAACGATCAATTCGATGCATGATGATAATCTTAATAAGTGAAAATTAACTTGGCTACACAGAAAAACAAGCAAACATCTTATAAAAGGCATGCCATTGAATAAATAGAGTATCAAATTCATACAAAATACAAAAAATATGAGGGGAAGTAATAATGAACATCGAAAGGTGATGAATTGATCATAAAGACATGATTCTGGTAAAATCTTCCTAAATAAGTTCTTTAACGTCTTAAAACCTTCTAATAAATATGTTTAAGACATGTTAAATGGTTTCCTATGCTTTTTCCTTGCTGTTGAATTTAACTTCCAATAAGTATCATGCACATTGCTAACAATTTGTAAGACGTTTACAGTTGAATATTTTGTGGGTTGTCTGTATGAATCATTGTTTTCTCTACTGTGTTGCCCTTGTTACGATAGTCAAACCTAGCTATTCTACAAGCTTGTTTCTTAAAGTAACGTCAAATGGACCAATAGAGGTGAAAGATGCGATACTTGATTTTGCAAATAAACGTTTAAGGGTTAAGAAAAAGAAACCAATGCCTAGGAAACAAAATAGTCCAAAGATATATTGTGTAAAAAAAGAAATGAACATGAATATAATATTTTGAAGAAATGTACCAAAATGACATGTCCATAAAATCATTTCACTGACTGAACAGAAATTAGCTAACAGGAAAGCGAATTATTCATGTCAAAAAATATAATAGCAGACTTGTTTTTGTACTGTTATGAATCACAGTTTATGACCAAACTCAGTAAAGACCCGTCTAAATTGCATTTAATTGATAAATGCAACAACACTTACCGTTATCTTGATGATATTTTTTCGTTAAATAATCAAGAATTTTCTAAATATACTGCCGAAATTTACCCAAAGGAACTTACTTTAAATTAATCAAATTTGAACAGTAATAACTGTCCTTTCCTATATTTAGATATTAAGGTTTTACACGGGAAACTCCACACTAAAATTTACGACAAAAGGGACGATTTTTCGTTCCCTATTGCTAATTTTCCCTTTTTGGATGGTGATATTCCTTTGACACCATCTTACGGAGTTTATATTTCACAACTCGTTCGCTATGCCCGTGTCTGTTTTGACGTTTTTGATTTTAACGAACGTAACGTAGTCTATGTATTACTAGTAAATTATTAAGGCAGATATTTCGTTACCACAAATTACTTAAAACCTTTACTAAATTCTTCCATAGATATAAATATTTGGTTTTGAAGTTTGGTTTGGTTTGGTTTGATAGCACATCCGCATTTTTACGGAGATGTTGTTTACCGTGCCCGGAAATTTAAAAACAATCCTGTTAAACTTATCGATCCTTTAAATAAACTTATTCTAAAAGGTTACCAATTCAACACTGTAATTAGATGATTGATAATTGTTTTTATTGGTATTGATATTGATTTTGTTATCAGTAAATTAAAAGCAAACTAAATATTATTGTTATATGCATATACATATTCATGGATCTACAATCTGTCGATACCTGTATCTTGGCATTGCACAAGGTCATGTTTTTCTCTGACTGTTTATGACGTCTTTACTCTAAATCCATTGGATGTTGGATGTGTACTGAATGATAATTTAGTCTTAGATGCATGATATTTTTATTAGTTGTATGTGGCTTTGAACTAGCTATCAGTAACTCGAGTACTTTCAGATCTGTACTTAGTGTCTTTTTGTTGTTGGGATATACAAGTACCCGGCCACGTCCACTCTGTGTTTTTGTTAGATGTATTTCTATTTGTATCCATCTGATGAGTTAAGCCTTTTTCAACTGATTTTTATAGTTCTATAGTAGTCGTTCTTACGTTGTACTGTTACATCACTGTCCCAGGTTAGGAAGAGGGTTGGGATTCCGCTAACATGTTTAACCCCGCCACATTCTGAATGTATGTGCCTGTCCCAAATCAGAAGCCTATAATTCAGTGGTTGTCGTTTGTTGATGTGTTACATAATTGTTTTTCGTTCATTTTTTTTGTACATAAATTATGCCGTTAGTTTTCTCGTTTGAATTGTTTTAAATTTGTCATTTCGGGGCCTTTTATAGCTGACTATGCGGTATGGGCTTTGCTCATTGTTGAAGGTCGTACGGTGACCTATAGTTGTTAATTTCTGTGTCATTTGGTCTCTTGTGGAGAGTTGTCTCATTGGCAATCATACCACATCTTCTTTTTTATAAGTACTAATGTACTACTCCACAGCAAGATAATCCGTTTCATCAATAGATATAGATGATAGGAAATACTTACACTCTAGTAAAAATCAGTACTAAAAACTGATATTGCTTTTACGGTACCTATTTTTTTTTCAATTTTAAGGTAGATTCATGGTATACCGCCATCTTGGATTGTACAATCGCAGTACAAAATCGGTCTAGTTATTTGCCCAAATCTGCAAATTTGGAGACAGATTTGCAATTTAATGGTTAGACTATTTATTTATATAAAGAAAACTTGGTGATTTATTGTATTATTCAAAATATTTAAACAAATATCATTTTTTTGTTGTTTTAGAATCATTTTTTTAAATGAGCCATTTAAGGGGAGATAACTCTTTTAGTAAAAAATTCATACTGGACTAATAGGACAATTTTTAATTTCTACTTGTAGAAAGAAAACAAGTTTGGTAACACTATTTTTTCTTTTTATTTTCTTAAAACATATTATAAAACCTATCTTCTCACAATTTATTTCAAAATTCTATCTCATAGAAATTTTTTTATGCAAACAAATGTGTTTTTTCATGAACAATCTAACAAAATTTAGGCAATTTTCAACGACTAATAGCTTGAAAAATAGCACGGTGACCCATACTTTTTATTATATTTTTGAAAAGGGCATAGTAAAAATCTTCATTTTGGCAAATTATAAGAAAATTCTGTCTAAAAAAATATATACTTATGATCTACCTTAACTTGTTTCTAATTAACTATGTTACGACTTCTAAATCATTTTGAAGTATGTACTAGAATTATCACGTTTACGACTAGATAATACTAGCTTTATATACATGTACGTACTGGGAAGACAACAGAACTCTGTATAATGACAATCTGGATGCGATCTGTAATCTTTATAGAATCCAATCGGACAATAACTACGTCCACATTTACCTCCATGATCTTCACAACCGCACCCAGAACCTGTAACGCACACAATGAGCAGTGAACTATGATGACATTGACGTTATTGGGAGAGTCCCTCACAGATAACGAAAATGTTAGAAGGTGAAGTACCATCTCTTTTGTGTACTAATATGTTGTCATCAATTTACCAAATACGCAACATAGTTTGTATGAATCCTTAAATCAGTTGCGTTGAATGTCTGAGATGTATGTTTAGAAAAAACCAGTTGTTGGCATGACACGGGTTATGTTCTTCTCATTTATGTTATGATGGTATGATACTAAACCCCTAACGGGAAGGATTGTGCCTGATATTCATATGATGAAGACATAATCTTTCAATCAGTTTAATTGAAGTCTGGAGCTGGCATGTCAGTTAACTGCTAGTAATCTGTTGTTATTAATGTTTTATTGTCATTTTGTTTATTTTCTTTTTTTACATCTTCTGACATCAGACTCGGACTTCTCTTGAACTGAATTTTAATGTGCGTATTGTTATGCGTTTACTTTTCTACATTGGCTAGAGGTATAGGGGGAGGGTTGAGATCTCATAAACATGTTTAACCCCGCCGCATTTTTGCGCCTGTCCCAAGTCAGGAGCCTCTAGCCTTTGTTAGTCTTGTATTATTTTTAATTTTAGTTTCTTGTGTACAATTTGGAGTTTAGTATGGCGTTCATTATCACTGAACTAGTATATATATTTGTTTAGGGGCCAGCTGAAGGACGCCTCCGGGTGCGGGAATTTCTCGCTGCATTGAAGACCTGTTGGTGACCTTCTGCTGTTGTCTGTTCTATGGTCGGGTTGTTGCCTCTTTGACACATTCCCCAATTCCATTCTCAATTTTACACAGTTTTGACTGCTGGATCCGAACTATTGTCAAATTAACCTCGTATGTCTTTTTGGGTTGCTCAGTCTATTGTGTCAATATAACGGAACTATAAACAACTAACTGTGCCATATCTTTTCTGTCTATGACTTTGTGTTATAAATTCAAGATTAATCATCAAATAAAGAATTCTTAATCTGGTTCTTTTTTGTATTTCGGTTCAAATCACACATTAGATATAACACTATGCGATGACTATTTTATCTCTTTTCGAATTTTGTATTCATATTCAATGTAATTATCTATGATATATGTGCTTTCGCAGTAGATTTTAACAAAAATGATGACGAAAATGATAATTCAATTTGAAATAATTGTAACTCACTTGTTCCACATAAGACCATTAATAGACAAACAACAAATATTATATGTCCTTGCTTCATGATCAGTTGATAAAGTCCTTAAAAATATAAAGTATTTCTGTATTTTCACTGTTTTTGTTTCTAATTTATATGCCAAAATATGTCTCAGATGTTATCTTCGGCAGTTTATAATATTGGTAGATGGAGCATTAATAAAATATAGAATTCTAGAAGCCTTTGCACGGTTTACTACTTCAACTTAATTTGTGCAGCTGTGATAGTCTCCGATGATAAAAAACAATATGATTAAATTTTTGTTTTTTAAATTCACAAATTTGAAATTACTAAAGTCAATGTTAAAACTTAATTTGCAAATTTCTTTATATAGTTTTTGTTTCCAAATATTTCATGCGTTTGGCTTCTTATACATTAGTTATAAAGTGTGCAATATGAAGTTATTATACCAACACGCTGTAGACACAATGAAATCGGTATGCCATGTTTGTATTATAACGACAAGATTAGAGGCGCTGTCAGCACACTCATATAACTAAAGGCACTGATCGTCACAAACCCAGTATTTCAGTGTGCATACATAGTTCAAATAATACATGTTAAACGTTTCTATAACTGAATTTCAATTTATTAATCAAAGTAATTTCTAAAAATAACTCAGGTTTAAAAATTCTTAGGCCAGTCTGAGATTCGATTATTGTTACGAAGATGAACAAAGGTGGTTCTAGAAAAAATGTCGTGAGCCAATAGGTTTCCCTTCTGCAAATAAAGACAATGCAATTTCCCATAGGAACTTCCTTTACGGCTAAAACTGTGCCACTTTTACTCTGAAATTTCGTAAAAAGTTATATCCTAGAATGTTGATATGCACTACTATTTTATTCACAGGTCAAAACATAGGGCTGTGCGGCATATTTTCAACATGTTTATGTCCCCAACTTCTAAGAGTATAAACTTATGCTAAAATTCTGTACTACCCCTCCCTTTACGTTGGGCCTTCCTCAGAATTAATTTCGTCGCTATCCATGTGTTTTTATTCTGGTAACATTCCCAAGTTCTATCTCTATGAGATGAAACAGAGATCATATCTGGGAACCAGTGCGTTAACGAAACCAAATATCTATGAATAATATATATCTATCCAAAAGATGCGTGGTTTGTGAAACATCTGCATTAAGAAAGTGCAACCTTTAGGAATATCAAACATTAAAATTAAAAAATAAAAACCATGTAATCAAAACTTGTTAATTTCAATGTCATTTGGTTTCTGGTGGAGAGTTGTCTTATTTGCAATTATACCATAGCTTCTGAATTTTATATTTGACCTCAAATCATGTCTAAAAATAAAGCTCACGCATAAAAATTGGAAATATAAAGAAGTAAAAGCAATAGGGTCCTTTCTTAAAAACTTGAGAAGTAAACAGAAACCTACCCAATATTCCGTTTGAACAATGCCGTTGTCATAATAAACAAAATAGCACTATAAGGAATTGAATTACCTTGTTGACAATAATGGTACTGGTTCATGTCTATAAATGAATTCTATGCGACTGCCATACAAGTGAGAGGTTTCTGTTTTATAGATACAATTGATAAGCGTTGATTCTTGAAAAAGAAATCATGAACCCGGAATCAACGCTTATTCATTGTGTCTCTAACTGAAACTAATATGTCGTTGTCTTTTTACCGATATATATCATATGTTCATTCATATTTATATCATGAATATATACAATAGACATTTAAATTTAACCCATTGGTAGGCGAAAGGTTTCGTCAATGTGTTAATGTCAGCCACACATAACAGATCTCAAGGAGGGTTCGACTCTTAGTGAAGACCTATGCAAATTAAAAAAAGTAAGTTATCAATTCCATTAGTGAACAGAAATGATTTAATTCAAACTTAATGAAATAAGGCACACAAAGGAAACAATATAAAATAATTTGGTGTGTCCATTTTAGCAACAGACCAAGAAAGCGCTGATTTTAGAAAAAGAATCCACGGCAATGAATAGGCTGAAGTCACAGCAATGGTTTAACTAGCAATAAAACCAGATTTTATCCACCATTTCATGCATACGAAAATGCCTATACCTAGTACAGAATATGACAGTTGTTTTTTCATTCGTTTGATGTGTTAGAGATTTTACGTTTTCCAAATGGATGAGGAACTTCCTGTTTTGAATTTTCCTTGAGGTCGTTTTTTTGTTGTTTGTTATTTTACCTTTTTCAAAAACCTTTCACATATTTTGCTAAATGTGTTAATGTCTACACTCAAAAATCCATATCCAATGAAGCTGAGATAACCATCTCGTTTACAATATAAAATATTGCATTTGATGTTTATTAACCCCTTAACTAAATACAGTTGGGTATAGACAAAGAATGAAACAAACTAAGCAACTGAAAATCACATGCGCATATATGTATGTCCACTCCTAGATTATGCAATTCGACGCATAAGGTTCTTGTTGTGTCGTACTTGTTTTGTATACCCAGGTATTTATAGTTTACTTAATTTATACTTTATAGGGAAAGTATATTTCATTATGTTTTACTTTACTTATAATAAAATACAAAAACAATTTGTTGGCGTCTTTGTCAGATTTATTTGTATGTTTGTTGTAAGTTGTTTGTATGTTTGTGATGTATGTTTACCACATTTTTACTGCTGGAACTCAATTATTGTCTTGTTAAACAATTATGTCTATTTAGGTTGTTGTCCCAATTTTGTCAATATTACTTTAAACAACTGTCATAAAAATGGGAGATTTAGCCGGCTATAAAATTAGGTTTAACCTATCAAACTCCTATACGAATTCATAAATACGATAGTTAGCTCCGGTGGTTGATAAAGTCTAGCGTTTGATTGTGTCAGGCTTTTTGGACTTCCCACCTCTTTAATTTACCTTGGAATTTTGTTTTTTTATTAACAATTTTTCACTTTAAATTTCCATTCGCGTTAACTATGTATGACTATAAAAAACTACATTTCGTTGATAAATGTAACCAATATATAGCTTATTGTCAGTTTATTTTCAACTTATGAGTTTGAATGTCCCTATGGTATTATTCTTCTCTCTTTTACACAGTATCAATACCAATAAAGAATCTAAATTTACTAGAGAATGTAACCTAATCAACTTAATTTTGTGCACCAAATAATAAAAAGCTATGTTTAATCCAAGTAAAACAGCAAAACTTAAAATTAAGTATTTCATATCCGATTGATGTGATATTTTAGACTGTTTTATAAATTAGTTTACATATCATTGTACTCCTTTAACTTAAATTGCCTATTTATATATAGTAATCCATATTTAAAAAAATGTATAATCGCTCGACAAAAACACTTTTTCATTATCAAAAATATGCAATACTACACACCTGTATACAATATATGGTTTTGTCACTCTTATTTACAAAAAATACCAACTAGCTAGAAATCATTGATGTTTTATTTAAAAGAAAGAAAAAAACAAAATCAATATAAAGTTTGACCATTATGCACTAAATAAATTGAATTGAGATAAAAAGAAACTAAAATAAGTATCAATTTATAAAACTTATTACACAAAAATTTCTTTGTTTACATGAAATTAAAAGTTTTGTAAGAATACAATAAAATTGAGAATGGAAATGGGGAATGTGTCAAATAGACAACAACCCGACCATAGAACAGACAACAGCAGAAGGTCACCAACAGGTCTTCAATGCAGCGAGAAATTCCCGCACCCGGAGGCGTCCTTCAGCTGGCCCCTAAACAAATATATATACTAGTTCAGTGATAATGAACGCCATACTAAACTCCAAATTGTACACAAGAAACTAAAATTAAAAATAATACAAGACTAACAAAGGCTAGAGGCTCCTGACTTGGGACAGGCGCAAAAATGCCTAAATTCGATCCTACCTTCTTTTTTGTATATCTTGTCTTTAACTTGCAAACAATCGGGATTATGATGTAGCTGCCGCTACAACAAACACATTTATATAATACAGAATCTTTTGACTTTTTTAGCAACCAATCCATCAATGCTTTTGCGGTCAGATAACTCATTTGTAGACATGCCTTGAAGCTGCTTAAAGTAATGGATTGGCTGCTCTTAGTTTTCGACAAAAGGTTAGAAAATAGACAAAGAAGAAAAAGATAAATACGCCTATGTAAGTAAATGAAGTTTATGTTCAGTCTGATTTATGATTTATTTTTTAGCAAACAATCCATAATTTTTTTTGCGGTCAGATAACTCATTTGTTGACATTTCTCAAGGAGGACAAGATGTATGAAGGTAAGAAAGTTTATGTTCAGTCTGATTTATTAGGACATCAAAACAAAATCCTTGCCTTTGAATCTTTTTTTAACGAAAAGAATATTTTCATGTTTTGTTGAAATAAATTCCAACCAGTCTAATAATTTCAAATGATTCCGTAAAACTTTCTTACAAAATTTACCGTCATTGGCACTACCACTACAGTGTTGATGAAGTCATCAGTCACATACACAGTCCCCTCATCATTATTTGCCATGACATTTGGATTTAATTTGTTTTTGACCTTCAAAATTCCACATTTTTTTTCTTTCCAAACATGAGCAGTATATTGATGTCCATACAGATCAACTTATATGTGTGCATTCGAATATAAGAAGTGCTGTATGAGGGAAATAATATAGTGAGTATCGCTTTTTCTCTGAAGTCAAGATATGTATGTCTCATTAAGGCTCGTTCTTGTTACATAGCTCAAATCACCTTCCCTACCGAATTGAATGTTCAGCTTCATAAGCGTTCTAGTTTAGCTACTTGTATCAAAGATGCATCATGGATTTTATTGCACCCAAAAACATGCAGCTATAGTATACACCAATGAAAAGGCTATTAAATGTAATTGTATTACATCCGTGCTTCGATATGTCGCAGGTGAGTTCGGCATAATCTAAACCAAGGACAAAAGTTAAGTTATAAACAATTCTTAATTTTTTATGGATCGAAAAAATAGAAATATGTCAGAAGGAGTTACATAATGTATTTTTGATTCCGGCCGGAATAGAGGTTTGTAATTCAATAATAGGTTTAGTGGAACTTTCGGCATGCCTACCAATGTAATCCATGACGTAATGCAAACGATAAGAGCGATGACGGAATCATGTATGGACGCTGAAATGATCGAACACTGACAAATCGCTGTACAAATGTTGTACGAACCATGCATAGACGATAGCTATCTGTCATTAACAAAACGATGTACCATACACGACACAATAAACGTTAGCATCAACGCTCCAAATCTTTTGTAAGCGGGTGTATTAAAACAGGGATTGATTCGGCGTTTATGATATCGTTTAACGTACACCATGTCGTTTACTGAATAATATACCGTTTAGTGTATTTAGAATAGTCTTTCCAAAACATTATTTTGTATCATAATGGTATATAGCCGACATCACAATTGGATTGGTATTTTTACATTCACATTATATTTCTTTAAATATTATCTTGTTTTTGTGATTATGCTATCAGATTTTATTCTCAATTTTTCAATTGAAATAAAGTTTACTCATAAAAGTACCAACAGTTTAGACACAAATACATATAAATTTAATTATTCAGTATGTAAATGCATGAATAAAATGTAAATTTATTTTAAAAAATTAAGATATTTATGTAAGGATCCTATAATTCTTCATTGGCATGCGACAGGGCGTATTAAGTATATCTAACGGCGCATTTTGTTTTCCCCTATATTAGACAGACAACAATGAACTATTATGTGTAGATTTCCGAAGGCGATATACAAGCAGTCTTATAATATAAAATGGTATAAGAAGGGAAGGGGTATCGGTGTGCAACAGAAAGAACCTGTTTTGTTCTTAATAAGAACATAAGAATTCTGAAAACTACTGTTCATCGTTAAACGAAATCATTGTCTGAGGCCTTCCAAAATGCTTTTTTTTCTTGTATATTGTTTTAAACAAATGACTATAACTTCTTTTCTTTTTACCCAACAGATTTTGTTTTATAACAAACATCCTAGAACCAAGATTCCAAAAACCATTCACTTAGTATTTGATACTTTTTTCCAACGTCGTTTCCAGGAGTGCTCTGTTCACAATTTTTACATCAAAATGAATTGAAATGTAAAGTACATGTTAAGTAGACTGTGTTATATAAACTTCTCACAACTATATTGGAGTGGGATAGAGGGAAAAACAATTTGTTTGCAAATTTGTAGATGTTTTTATAAATAAATCATAGAGAAATTATTAATCAAAACCAAAATTTAATAGGGCTGAGGGCACTAAACATGTCCAACCAAGCCTCATTCTTTATTTGCCTGTGATTCAGTGATTGTCGTTAGTTGCTGTCTGTAATAATTGTTTTTTGTTTATTGTTTGTCATAAATCAAGCCGTTGTTATTTTCGCTGGAATTGTTTAACATTTTATCATTTATAGTTGACTGAACGGTATGGATTTTGCTCATTGTTGAAGGCCGTACAGTGACCTATAATTGCTTAGATCCACGCCATTTGAAGGGTGTTGGAAAATTGTCCCATTTGCAATCATAACACATTTCCTTATTTTATATTGAAATCAGTATCAAACATTTTCCAAAACTTTGAAGGCGAATAGATAAAATGATGTTTACGCAAAGGTATTTTCATTTAAATCAACACCGAAAAGGAGCTGCAATGTGCCTATAGTGTTCAAGTTGCATACGCAAAACATGAAAAAAAAAATGTTACTCCTGTAAACATTATTCTATCTATTATCTTTCAGAGTTTTGGAAAATGATTGAAACTGATTTGAATATAAAATAAGGAGATGTGGAATGATTGCAAATGGGACAATAACGATTTTAACCAATTGATTTATTTGCATAACATATGTAGCTGATCATTTGTTCTGTTCAAAGTATTAGTTTTTTGGTAAAGCCTTAAAGATATGACTAAACATTATGTTTAGATGATTTAATCTCCATTATGGAAAATTTCGATAATTTGATCCGTAAGATATATTTATTTTGCTGATCATGTTTGCTGTTTCTTTATATCGTTAGTTTCAGCCAATACTTAAAAACATGTGAAAAAAATCATCATCAAATGACTATTTCTTAAAAAAAAGAAATAATCGATTTCGAGCATGTTGATTTATTTGTAGACCTGTTGTAATGACCATAATAACTGTAATTAGGTTTTGTACAGCTATATATAAATATATATATCTCTAGTTTTCAAGAAAACAACCCGAAAATAAAAAAAAAGGTAAATATCGCTGTTTAAAGTGTCGACTGACCACATCAGGCATATTGACAGTTTTTTTCTTTATGAATTTTTTGTAATTCAACTTTTCACTATCTATTCTAAGTTTATTATGAAATAACAAGGAAGGTGAACAATCGTGTTTCAGGGGAGTCATTTGATAGATTTCGTGGAAGGTAATTTTTGACATTCGTTCATTTTTTGCTGCTATCAGATTGTCTCTATCTTTATCGATTTTAAAATATACTTGCAGATAACTCCTGTATTCTACTGATAGACATGACACTAATGTTGGTTGCTAGGCGGGTTAATCGGACGAAATATCTAATTCAGATACTCTAAGGCTGAGTATAGCAAAGATTGGTTGTAATTGACTTGGTAGTTTTAGAGTAGACTGTTTGTTTTATAAAAGAATTAACGGACAACGATGGCGATATGATTAGAATAGCCTGTGCAGGATAATTATATGAGCTAAAACGAGACAAGCTTTTGTAATTTCAAATTGCAAAAAAACAGAAATGAAGTATCAAATCTATCAATGACCTTTAATCGCATGTATTAATAAAAGATACATAACAAAAAACAACAGGTGCTTCCAAATATGATATACAAATATTAAATAAATCAAAATAACATTACTCCTGTTCATATCGAATGTCATTAGAAATACTTTGCCCATGAACCAAGAATTTGTTTTGAATTGTAACTAAGGTTTACAAACGAGACGATTTTAATTTTAAAATTATAAATTTCCCCCACCTTAGTAGCAATATACCAACTTCACCTGCATATGGGATATACATTTCCCAACTTATTCGATATTCAAGAGCTTGCAGCTCCTACTCAGACTTTGTAAAACGTCACCAGTGTCTGAGTAGAAAGTTGATGAACCAGGGGTATGTCAAAGAACGTCTCGTCCTTTTTCTAAAAAGGTTCATCGGAAGGTACCAAGACCTTGTTGATAAATATTCCGTATCAACTTCACAAATAATACATGATGGTCTTGAAGTATAGATTCTGCATACTGACGTTGTTTATCATCTTAACAACGTGTAATATTGTTCTTTCATTTGTCTTTGTTCTATTATTAATATTACTTTTACTGTTTGGTTTGTTTTCTGTGATATCCATTTGACGTGGCTAGGTATTTATACATCCCGTCGATGTGTTTGTATTATCTTTCATTTTTGCTGGTGTGTTTTGTATATGCGACTTTTTGTGTTTCTGTGGTTCTTATAACGTGACTCTGTACTTTAAAAGATCCCGTTATTATGTTATTGTTCTATTATATGTCATTATGTTATTGTTCTATTATAAATTTGAAAATACTTTGAACGACAAACGACAAATTTATTTTACTCTCGTAGTGGTATTAACCATATGTGGATTCTTAAATATTCTAAAGAACTTCTGGACAATTTTAAATTTCGGTCTATTTCTGAAATTAATTCAACCATAACTTTTGATTTTTTAACCCTGTATACCAACATTCCACATGTGAAATTATAAAATTGTTTTGAATAAACATTGAATGACAAAATTTCTTCTTATGTGACGTTTACATTTTCTGACGTCAGACACGCGAAGCAATGAATGTGGTTTTTAATTTGATAGATGCTTTTGTTCTTTTTTGTAAATAATTGTTTGTTTTGATATTGTAACACAGTGATGACTGCTGTACCCATATTTTGACTATTTTATTTATAATGTCTGTT